ATCTACCTTAACCAAAATCAAAGTAGACTATCACTCACCCACACCAGATGGAAAACTCTACAGACTGTCGGTTCACACCCCATCACAGGCCAGCATAACATCCACGAAACAAAGAAAGGTCTGTCACAGCCAAAAAATACACTCCAGATATATATATATATTGTCACATCATATTATATATTCATGGTCCACTCATGTAGACCCGGAAGTTCGAATTCAGGACTGTGCTTCGGGACACCCATCTCTGGGGTCACTGTGTGTGCATGGGTGGGGTGACAAAAAAACGTACCCCTCCCCCTTCTATAAATTCGGGAAAATTCGGGCCTGTAAATTCGAATTCAGGACTGTGATTGAGGTGCCTGCAGGGACTCTTAGGGGTACAACGTGGCCCCAACTTTTTTTCCTCTTGCGGCTCGAATTTTTAGAAGGGAGGGGCACGGTTGGCCACCCCACCCTGCCCTTCCGGAATTTTCCTCACTGGGCTGCATCACGTGCGCGCGCATGCATGCGCATGTGCTATGCGTCGCACGTGCGCAACTCGCGTGCACGCGATGCGCCGCAAGTATGTTTCAGTTCCGTCGACGACCATGCATGTTTCGTACACAACAGCAAAACGACTTGAATTGACGAGATGAAGGTAGGAGGGGTCTCTCACAAGGGGAAAAATGTGTCGCACATGCCCAACTCGCGCGCACGTGATGTGCCGCAAGTATGTTTCAGTTCCTTCGACGACCATGCATGTTTCGTACGCAACAGCAAAAAGATTTGAATTGACGAGAGGAAGGGTGGGAGGGGGTCTTGTAAGGGGAAAAACCCTAACAAAAAAAAAAAAAAAGAAAAAAAAAAAAGAAGATTTGAAAGAACTGAAGAAGATAAGACCATATGCCTAGGGACCAATACAAGCCACAATTGCATGTTTCTTAAGAACGAGAACAGACGAGACTTCAGACGAACTGAAGAAGAGAAGACGAGCCTAGCCGACTCTATAGAGACCACGATCCATGTCCTGGAAGCCTGAGACTGACAACAGAAAAAGACATCAAAGAAGTAAGGACGTGTTGAGCGGATTTGAATTTCGAACCTTTAACGCGGCATTATCTGCAGTGAGCTTCTTGCACTCGTCATGCACACGGGCGAGCTCGTTTCGTAAAGTCATGTTTTCACTAGTCAATGTGTCGACTCTCGCCCCCAGCTCCTCGCACTCCGCCTATTGAACCACCACCATCCATTTGCACAAAAAGCAAATAAAGACCTTGCTTGTCAGAGGGGGGGGTTCAGGAGACAGAGCCTTTTTTTTTTTTTTTTCAATGTGCAGCCATATTCCTCACTCATATACCTTGCACTGCCTGACCTATTATGTAAGTCCAGTTTTGTTGCCAATCATTGCAGTTATGGTTAACACCGACCTCCTCCCGCGTCTAAGCACCACAGCTTTCATCCTTACCCCGGGCAATAGATGGGAGGGCAAACTCCTCCCGCCCCCACCCAGGGGGGCAAGCCGGCTATCTCAGCTGGTGGTGAACCTGTAGTGAGCTGCAGGAGGCTGAGACATAGACTCATCAGACTCGTCTTTCTTTTTTCTTTCCTCTTTTTTAATAATTGGGCGTTCAGATTCTTCACCCTCAATTATTTAATTAATTAATTAATTAATTAATTAATAATTTAATAATTTTAATTACAAATTCACAATTTAATAATTTATTTTTATCTTCAGGGCACAGAATCAAGGGTTCAACTCCCACATAAGCCCATGTGGCTGAATCGTACACACATGTCAATTGATGCAACTGTTAGCAAACAGAGCATGAGTTGGAGTGCTGCTGGAATCAGAGGAATACGATAATAATAGTGCAAAATATTAGACCAAGCTTCAAATGACATCGCACACTACAACGGGAGCACACTTCATCGCACCAAAGTCGAAAAGCCAAAGCATGGGATATCAGAACCGAGAACTGTCCACAATTTGAATGAAGGCTTCACATAACAAGTTTGTATACAGAAGCTGGATGGCGATGGCCGCCAGCAAACAATCACCAAAAGTGAACTCCCGTCCTTCTGTCTGAGTTGTGCACTGTGAGAAGTAAGGCCTCGCATCTTGAGTCCAATATTGCAAGCGTTCATCTCTCTCTCTGAGTGTTTTCTTGCCCTCTACTACCCTAGCTAGCTACAGCACCCAGGTCCACTTGAGTACAGCTACTTGCTTCACCTCACTCCAGACTCATGCAACACCTGGTCGGTCCCACAAGCGCTTCCGCAGCTCACCGGCGTGGAAGAGATGTTGACGCCCCACCGCTGCTGCACTAATGTATCTGATGATTCAGTCACTTGACGCCTGGTCGCACAAGATCGCAGCAGCGCTTCCGCAGCTACCCCGAGTGGAAAAGATGTTTGACGCCCACTGCTGCTGCACTTTTGTATCTGATGATCGAGTCACTTGACGCCTGGTCGCAGATGATCGCAGCAGCGCTTCCGCAGCTCGCCCGAATGGAAAAGATGTTGGCGCCCACCGCTGCTGCGGTTTGTATGTGACGATTCATTTTCCTGTCCCTTCAACTTGTCGTGGACCGAAGTCTGCTGCTGGTCGTGGACCTTCAGCCCTTGACGCTTGCAGGCATTCACTCAATTTTCTGGGACACTGGGACGCTGTCTCGTCTGTCGACCAGGCGGGACTGGCACTGCGACTCGGCCTCCTACCTACAGGACCCTTCTAGGTCTACCTAACCGGCCGGCCTGGGCATTATGGTACATCGGACTTCGGAACCTATTCCCAGTCCCAGTCCCAGTCCCAGCCCAGCCTGGTCCACAGACGAGACAGCGACTGGGACTGGAACATGACCCTCATACCGGCGGCCCGATTTTGAGGTCCTCTCGGAGAAAGTTACGTTCCTTCTAGTTTCTACCCTACTACGGTAGTCGCTAGAACTGCTCGTAATGCGACTCTACCCTCGGGGCGGGTTCGGACAACTCAGCCTTTGTCCACCATCTGTCAGCTTCGGATTGCGATATCGAAAACCAGACGTTGTATTGCCTCGGGGGCCGCCCTATTCCCCCTGACACGACCACACCCTTCCTTCGGCAATCCTTTGGGTTGCGATATGGAAACCGGACTTCGTATTGCCTCTGGGGGCCGCC